AGAAATACATGGTTTTCACTTCAGTGGCTTCTAATCTGCTATGAATTCTAGCTTTTTGTTTGTTTTCTCTTTTTGCCAAAATTAACTGGTGAAGCCCTTGAAACCTTGCTTTGTTTGCATGCATTCATGTGCCAAGCCAGCACAGGGCAGCCAGGAGCCGCTGGCGACCAGCGGCCGTGTGGTTTCTCAGCTGCGCACGGGCGCGCAGTGCGGAGCAGGCCTGCTAGTCCAGCTGGTTCTGCTCGACCAGGCCCGGGCCCGGCAGGGTGCGGGGGTCCTCCCAGAGCCCCTCCTGGACCGTGTCCTCCTCTTTATTTTGTTAATTAAATTTTTTCCAAATTGGACTCTCCTGGGATTTCTTCCATGCGGGGTTCTGTTTCCCATCTGGTTTCCCTCGTGGCGTAGGCAGAGGTCCTTTCTGTGCTCACCCCTTTCCTCCCCCAGGGAGGGGACTCGAAGGCCGGCCTCGAGCCCTGGGCCCAGGGGCACGTCTCCCCGTCACTAAGCGGTCCGTCCGGTCTGCGCGGCAACCGCCTGCTGACGCCTGTGTGTGTTGTTCTCTCTCTTATCGTCAGGAAAGCGGGTAGCGATTCCTGCGTCCGTGTGTAGCACAGGCTTAGTGTCACAGTCCAAGTGGTCCCCTCCGTCCCTCCGGGGCCCCCCGCCTGTGTCGGGAGTGGAGACGGAGGGGCACCGAGGAGCTGGCTGCGAGCCCCTCCTGCGCGGGCGTGTGTGCCTTTTATTTCAAGCTTTCGGAGTCGTGCAGAGGCCCAGGCTCCGCCGAGCCCCCCTGTTTTATAGAATTGAACCTCGGGGACCTCGGACTCTGTTCCAGACCGAGACGCGCGGGGCGAGGTTCTGGGGGATTGAGTGGCATTGATGGCGTGGAAACGCCCTGGGTTGTTGGGACGTGGCAGCTGAAGGCACAGGTGGGAAAGCAGGCGTCCCGGCGGCACCTCACTTCCCTGCGCCAGGCTCTGGCCCGAGGGGTCAGCGTGCGTTTCAGGTCGTGCTCGTATCCTGGTCGTAAGAGGGAAGGGGACGTGGTTGAAGCGGCTGCGGACTTAGTGCCCGGCTTCTCCTCCAGGTGGTCCGTGGGCCGCGGGCCGCGTGTGCAGGGCGGCCCTAAGGTCGAGGCCGGGAATTGAGAGGAGCCTCCGGTGACGGTGGCCTGCGCTCGCCTTTCCTCCAGGGGACCCGGCTCCACGGGAACAGGCCGGACCAGCTGACGCGTCCCGGGCAGGGTCTTGGGTGTCGGTGTGGGGCGTGGCTCACGCTCCCCGACGTGGGGGCACATTTGCCCCGGGCGAGGGCGATGGGGAGACGTGTGCAGGCGCTGGTTCTCGTGGTCAGAGGCCCTGGGTCCCCGTCTCCCTTTGGGATTGCAGTCAGGAGATGTGGGACTTCTCCCTGTTTCTGCCTCAGTTTCCTCAACTTCCAATGGGCAGTTAGGAAACGAGGCTCGCCCTGCCTCCCCGCTGGGCCCGCAGGCTGGCCCGGGCGCGTGTGGGCCCGCCGTGTGCTGTGCCCGGGGCCGGGGAGGGAGAACTGAGGCTCTGCATGGTCAGCCGACGCACCTGGCGGTGGGCCTCACTGCTTTTCCTTTCCCGGCTCATGGCCACGAGCTCGTCCTCGGTGCCCGCATCCCGCAGGCCCGAGGCCGTGAGGCGTAGCAGCTGCCCGAGGACCCGCAGCCGGTGCCGACTGCTGAGCTCCAGACCACACAAGTTTTATCATTTCATTACGTCTTGTTGTCCAGATCGCAAAACAGATGACCTGGCGGGAGGGAGGGAATCACCCCAGAAACTTCCTCAGAGGAACCTGTGGGCTGGGAGCAAACCGCACCTCTCAGCAAGGGACCAAGACCAGCTGCCCCTTCGTCACCCCTGGGGCAATCCTGTGTGCTGGCGGCATGGCCAGTTCCTGGACGGGACGATAGGCGTGGCCCACCTCACAGGGTCCCTGTGACTGGGAACGCACCAGTGATCACGGGAGCAGAAACTGGTCTTAGGCGTTGAAACCAGTTGTCTTTATTCAGGCGGGTTCCTGCGTGCAGACCGTGGGAAAGTGAGATCCTGACAAATATGATTCCCAGCCAAGGTGTGTGCGGCCCTCAGTCCCGCCTCTCCTGCACCCGGTTCTAAGACCAGCGACAGCTCTGGTGGGGGTGGGGGAGACTTGCCAAGCTGCACACGGCACTGCCTGCTGTGGCCGGCGGGCATCGATCCGCCCCTCATTCCAGAGCAGACCTTCCGGCCCAGACAGCACCTGAGCTCCTCCTCCTTGGTCACCTGCACCGCCCAGAGGGCCCAGGAATTTCGGGTCTCCACGCTCCGCCCGCTCACAGGTTCGTCTGAGGAGCAGAGGAGAGAAAGGACCTGGCCTTCCCCGCGGCCGGCAGTGGGCACAGACAGAAAAGACTAGACGTGCTCAGGTCACAGCAAGACACACAGGACGTCGGTGATGGGAAGCGTGCTCCCGTGTCCCCCGGCGGGGTCGGCCGACTTGAGACCCCGCCTTTGCACGTGGGGAATGGCGGGTCCTGTGTAAAACATGGGTGTGATGCCAGCCCAGCTCAAGGTCCAAATGCGACTCTACAGTGTGCTTAGCCCTCAGGCGCAGGGGGCGGGCGAGGAGGACCTGGGCCCTCAGGACGGTGTGGTCTGGAGGAGGTTTGATAGGGAGCCTCCTCGTGAGCGTCTTACTAAGCTGTGACGGCAGCCAGTCGCCACGCAGACGGGCTCAGGGAGGTAGCTTCAGCTCGTACCCAGGTCGTGGTTCTTGGCCCGTGTTGTCCCTTTTTGTCCTGTGGATTTTGCAGAGCACCAAGAGAAAGTGGAATTTGAGGCGTGGCCAGTCCTTCCGATCCTTCCTTCCCTGGTATCTGACCAGGAAAGCCTTTAATTTGGAAAAAGTTAATCTTTTTATTTATTTATTTTTAAATATATTTTATTGATTTTTTAGGGAGGAAGGGAGAGGATAGAGTTAGAAACATCGATGAGAGAGAAACATCGATCAGCTGCCTCCTGCACACCTCCTACTGGGGATGTGCCCGCAACCAAGAATCAAACCTGGGACCCTTGAGTCCACAGGCTGACGCTCTATCCACTGAGCCAAACCGGTTAGGGCTGGAAAAAGTTAATCTTTTTAAAGCTCAGAATTGAAGGGGCCTGTTTTGATCCTTTCCCCTCCCCTTCTGCTGGTTCTTCACCGAGCTGTCATTTCACTGCATTTCCTTCGTGGTGGGCGTGTCGTGTGTGTGGGTGGGTGTGAGCGTCTGAGCCGAGGGTGAGTGCGCCCTGCTTACATTCCAAACCAGCTCGGACTGCAGGCCCGTGCTGCTGCAGCTCATAACCACGTTGAGAGATTAAACTGTCCTGGCCGGGTGGCCCAGTGGTTGGGCGTCATCCCATGCAGTTGCTGGTTCTGTTCCCGGTCAGGGCACATGCCCCAGGTGTGGGCTCCATCCCCAGTAGGGGGCGTGCAGGAGGCGGCCGATCAATGTTTCTCTAGAAAAAAATCAATATAAACATATTTTTAAAAATAAAGATGAAACCTGTGTTGCATTTCGTTTTGTTTCTTTTCATTGATTCACTACACACTCATTACGCGTCAGTACGCACCGTCATTTAATCACCTACAATTCTGCTAGGCTATCGTGGCAGAGAAATCCGAGCCCTGCTGCTGACGGAACTCAGGAAGGTTTTATCCAGAACTGAGCCTAGTGCTTTGTGACGTAGATTGTGCACGTCTTTCTCCTGGAATTCCTGGCCTCGCCTGAGAGCATAAGATGTCTGACCTCAAGGGACAGGGCGGACACAGGTGAGTGGCCCTGGAGGCGGGGGGCGGGGCTGGCCTGCAGGGGGCGGGGCAGCTTCTGGAAGCACCCTCCCTGCGTGCACTGCTTTGTCAGTTTCCCTCAGTGGGAGGGTGTGTTCCTCCACGTCCCAGGCTGAGACACGTGTGTGATGCTCCATGCGACGAGGCAGGCAGGCGAGCAGGTGCTGGCTGACGGGAGGGTGGGGTCGGAGCCCTCAGACCCACCCTCTCGTGGCTCCCGTGCGCCTCGGAGCCACCGTCCCGTGTGAGGAGACAGTGATGCGTGTTGAATTCTTTGGGGAAGGGCAAGACCACACATCTGTCCGTGCCCGAGCATGGGCCCTGCTTTGTGACAACATGGGGCTTCCTCCTGTGTTCTTGGTGGGTTAGCAAGCAGGTCCTGAGTCCTTGGACAGCAGTGTGGTGGGGCCACCGGGTCCCTGGAGGAGGCCCTGGCCCATCTAGTTGGTGCCCGGTCTCCCAGAGTCGGGACACGGAGGGCTCAGCCCAAGTCCACAAGGTGGGACTTGGCTGGTCCACACACACCAAGCTCGCCTGTGCGGGGCCAGGCCAATCGTGAGGGATCAGGAACTTGACGGACAGGACACCCATCGGTGAGACAAGCGGGCTTTAGAGAGCAGCTCTGGGCAGCTCTGGCGCCCTGTTTACACGAAGGCTGGGCTGTGGGTCCCGGCTTTCCCGGGCCTGTCCTTGCTCATCGCGTGGCCTCCCGGGAGGAAATGCCAGGGGTGCTGGCGTATCACTAGCCGGGACCTGGGAGAGGAGGAGTGTGGAGGCGTGACCTCTGGATGGAGGGGCCGCAGTGCTAAGAGGGAGGAGACCTGTGCCACGCTGGGCTCCCCAGGGGACCCTCCTCAGCCTCTCCCGTCGGGAGGTGGCCAGGACCATGGAGGATGCGGACACGTCACACTAACCTGCTGGTTTTGAGCTCCTCTCTGCCTGTGGTGCTTCCAGTGGTCGTTTTGCCACCCAGTTAGTGTCCCGCAGGTGGACGGCTTCCTTTGTAAAGTCGGGGCTAATGATGGCTTTAGGGATGCGTCCGCTCATCCCCAGCCCTCGTGGGCTCCTCCGTGGGGCGGCCAGCCGTGTGCCCTCAGCAAGCCTCCGCAGGCCTCGG